CTGTTGTTACCGTTGTCACCGTTATCACTGTTGTTACTGTTGTCGCTGTTGGCACCGTTGTCACCGTTGTCACTGTTGTCAGTGTTGTTGCCGTTGTCACCGTTGTCACTCTTGTCTCCATTGTCACCGTTGTCAGTGTTGTCACCATTGTCACTGTTGTCACCATTCTCACCGTTGTCACTGTTATCACTGTTGTCACCGTTGTCAGTGTTGTTACTGTATAACCGTTGTCACCATTGTCACTGTTGTCACTTTGTCACCTTTGTCACCGTTGTCAGTGTTGTCACCGTTGTCAGTGTTGTCACCGTTGTCACTGTTGTCACCATTGTCACCGTTGTCGTTTTTGTCACTGTTATCACGGTTGTCACAGTTGTCACAGTTGTCACCATTGTCACTGTTGTCGCCGTTGTCAGTGTTGTCACCGTTGTCACAGTTGTCACCGTTGTCACTTTTGTCAGTGTTGTCACCGTTGTCACTGTGGTCACCGTTGTCACCGTTGTCACGGTTGTCACCGTTGTAATTGTTGTCACCGTTGCCACCGCTGTTGCCCATATTACCATCTTCACTCTCAACTTGTCATGCAACAAATTTCAATGTTGAAAGTTGCAGCTCTTTAAGAAAATCATGCATTGTGATTGGTCAACAGTGTGTTTTTGTGTCAGCGAACAAAATGGCTTGTTGACCTTCTGTGGTTTCTTTTTTTACTTCCCTTGTCAATGCCGTTCTAAGGCTATGTAGTTGTTTTGTAAGACAGTTAGGTGAAATGTTAAATTTTTGTCATAACTCATCCAGAGCTCTTGACCTTCGTGGCTTGTTTTTATACTCTGGTCCACAAGTTTCCCACAGACATGGGTGCTTTTCAAGTTCTTTTCACAAATCTTTTTTTTGGGGCCTCTAACATTTTTTCACTAATAAATTCACAATCTTGGGTCTCAACTTTCTCAACCTCCACAACCTCGGCCATGTTTACCTCCTGCCCAAATCGGATATGCCTGAGGTCAAGAGCGCGCTTACTCCCCATCTTTCCCACGTTTTTGGTCCGGGAAAATTGACCAATCACAAGTGTTGTGAAGTGAAGCAAGTTGTGATGCAAATGATAAAATTGAAAGTTTGTTGCAAAAAGTAGAACTCAGGTCTGCTTTGCGCAACATGTTGCTACAACTTGCAACATTGAAATTTGTTGCGCGACAAGTTGAGTGCGAGGGTAGTAATACGGGCAACAACGCTTTTCAACTTGCAATGCAACAATGTTGCGGGACAAGTTGAGCGAAAATGTTGCCCGTATTACTTGACCTTAAAGATCTTCTTACAATCACGCGCGATTATGCAGGGTGGTTGCTTTGACATTCTAATGTATGCTTTTACGATGAGGTTTTCGCTTTTTCATAATCTGCTATTATCTATAGATATCAGAAATCTCCATGAGATATTACCAGTAATGATCTTCATTGATTAACCAAATCAATCAATACTAATCCATTTGATTATTAATTTTATTCATTGCAATCGATGATTGATTTCTACTGATTATTATGGTTGGACACATAAACCAAAAAAGGTAAGATTTCTGCGCAGCCCTATAAATTCTATCCTATAAACTCTATTCATATAAATGATTATTTCTGTGAAACATGAGAAATACTAACAAAAGTACACATTGAAATACTGTGGAATCCCGATTTTTCTGGTTATTGCTGGAGTCTGTTCTGCAGAACAAAGTCAAAAGAAGGGACACAAAATTGAGCCTGTTCAATGATTGTAACTCCCTTCCAAAACCCCTGTCCCCCCCCCCCGCCCCCCCTCTGGGATGTAATAAAAATTAATGATCACTCCCTAACACAACTAGACTCTAAACATGGTTAGGAACTGTGTAGTGCTGATTAGTTGATTACAATTAAAATTTGTCTTTGTGTTAGTAGCGCTAAAATGTTTGAAAATTCAGACGTTTCGGGACTACTGTCCCTTTATCAGTGGAAGATGCCGTTACAACGTTTTAAATTTTTAAGGTGACTCGACCCAGTTTTTTTGGGGGGATACCATCCCTCTTTGAAGCTCTCTGGTATCCCCACCTTTACTTTTATCGTAAGTCTAACACATAGAATGGATAACATATAGATCAATCTACAATATAACATAAAATTTTTGGCGATCGGAGTAAATGTCACGTGGTAAAAATGCCACGCCCCTTTGAGGTCTGAGTCGAAAATCTGCTGTTGCCGGCATTTTTTCGTGAAAATCTCTCGGCTACACATAGTGCGCATTAGTGCCTTGCGCTGAACAGAGTTTCACCAAAATCGCAAAGACCCAATTCGAGAAATTCAGCGGTTTCCAAATTTAGGTCATAATTTATGCGAAAATGATAAGCAAACTTTACACGGATTATATCTAATAAACTATGAGATTCATCTCTTTATTTTGGGCATCGTTATAACAGATGGGTCCTTGCAAGTCAGCAAAACGCTTTAGGGCCTTGTAAATGCGCGCGATTTCGAGCAAAGCAAACATATAGAAATTATAGTTTTCGCTATTTGTTGACGTTTGTCAGCGTTTAAGAGTCCTTCTCACGAAAAAAGCATTTTCTTAAAAATTCGTAGTTTTTTTTCCTTCAAATTTTTTCAGGGCCACAATTGATTAACTAACTACCCGGACTCTGAATTTCATGGTCATTGAAAAACTGTGACATTATCTTCTATAAGCCCAAACTTGAGTAAACATTGAAGATTTTTAGCGTTTTGGCTGAGTTTGTGCTTTGGGAGTTGTCTATTGTTTCTAGTCTGTCATTATACAGCATTCTTGTTCAGCACGCGTGCAATGACCACGCTTGGCTGACTTCCGAATGCTCACCGAGATATTCCCGTCACGAGTTGGTTTAATTATTGGCTTGCATTAAACCTATGAAAAAATGATATTTTTTTAATAGTAAGTAGATTTAGTGTGTAGCACTTCTTGATTTTTTTGCAAAGGCACAAGAAGCACGAGAATTGATTAAAAATTGTGACTTAAACCTCTATGTATCACGCGATGGCCTGTCTCACTGTACCAAAATTATTATATCTCGGTGAGCATTCGGAAGTCAGCCAAGCGCGGTCATTGCACGCGTGCTGAACAAGAATGCTGTATAATGACAGACTAGAAACAATAGACAACTCCCAAAGCACAAACTCAGCCAAAACGCTAAAAATCTTCAATGTTTACTCAAGTTTGGGCTTATAGAAGATAATGTCACAGTTTTTCAATGACCATGAAATTCAGAGTCCGGGTAGTTAGTTAATCAATTGTGGCCCTGAAAAAATTTGAAGGAAAAAAAACTACGAATTTTTAAGAAAATGCTTTTTTCGTGAGAAGGACTCTTAAACGCTGACAAACGTCAACAAATAGCGAAAACTATAATTTCTATATGTTTGCTTTGCTCGAAATCGCGCGCATTTACAAGGCCCTAAAGCGTTTTGCTGACTTGCAAGGACCCATCTGTTATAACGATGCCCAAAATAAAGAGATGAATCTCATAGTTTATTAGATATAATCCGTGTAAAGTTTGCTTATCATTTTCGCATAAATTATGACCTAAATTTGGAAACCGCTGAATTTCTCGAATTGGGTCTTTGCGATTTTGGTGAAACTCTGTTCAGCGCAAGGCACTAATGCGCACTATGTGTAGCCGAGAGATTTTCACGAAAAAATGCCGGCAACAGCAGATTTTCGACTCAGACCTCAAAGGGGCGTGGCATTATAACCACGTGACATTTACTCCGATCGCCAAAAATTTTATGTTATATTGTAGATTGATCTATATGTTATCCATTCTATGTGTTATACTTACGATAAAAGTAAAGGTGGGGATACCAGAGAGCTTCAAAGTAGGGTGGTACCCCCTAAAAAAAACTGGGTCGAGTCACCTTAAATGCAAAACTCTACAGCCGCGCGGCATAAACATTGACTTCAATTTTATTTGAGCGAACTCTTCCAGCGCGCGCTTCAAATGTTGCCACATTTGAATAAAATGACGCGCGCTCAGTGTAACGGCATCTTCCACTGATGAAGGGATAGTAGTCCCGAAACGTCTGGATTTTCAAACATTTTAGCGCTACGAACACAAAGACAAATTTTAATTGTAAACAACTAGACTCTGACTGCTTCGCTCATGTCGCATTGATTTTATACAAGTTTCTGGTGTGGTAGAGTCACCTTTCCTGCGAGTAGTCTGCATGTGGGAAAACAAACGCTAACTGCATCTCCTTCAGCTAGCTATCCAGCATCCTACCTTCTCTAGGTGTTGGCACTGTCTTATTCCCTGCACCATTTGACTTCCTTTAGGATGTATTTTCTCAACATGATGCCACATCCTTTCCCATGTTTTCTTTTTGATAGGGAAACCATCCTTATTTACGTAAAACAGTACACCACTTTCATCTTCATTTGGCAAGTCGTTAGTTTGCTCGTTATCTCGACTGTAAAGGTTGTCAAATCCGTCACATTGAACAGTAGCTGGTTGATCCATGGTTTGCAAACTTAAGATTCAACCATGTCTTTGCTCATTTCAGGGGCTGATTTAATGATGCGGTGGCACAATATCAAACGCAATGATCCTTAATGTCAACGACGTGGCTGACTCCATCTATCCAGCGAATTTCTAGGGAAATTTTGATAAAAACGCGTACTGCAGCACCCATCTTCCACCTTCAAACGTTAATGCCTCAGGTTGCTATGCGACCTAGCCCTGTCCATGGGGATGTACGCTGCCTAATAGCGGTCTCAAGTCAAGTAGAACCCAACATGGCGGATCAAATTGGCCAATCAGAGAAGACGTAATAGACTGCCACATCACCCATCTTTTCTTTGCAGACATAAACTTGCACAAACTTTTCCCATTGCATTTTAGCACCAAAATGTCTTCCTGGTTAAGCAGTAATCTGACAGGCAGTTTATCTAGTATTTCTAATTTAACTGGACAGATTTCGTCATTTACCCGCGAAATCTTGACGGAGGGAGCAGAAGAAGTATCTGGTAAGATTTATCATTAACCTTCCCTGTAGTTAGGTTTACTGTGTTTTATTTTTGATTACAGAGCTTGTTTGGTACTGTTGTGTTTAGCAAATGAACCTGAAATTCATCAAAGCAAGAAATCTGATGATATTCCCGTGCAAATTAAATAATACAAGCTGAAGATAAAATTATTGTCATTGTAAATACATTACTATTGTCCTTCGTAGATTTTAGTTACATAGCAGGGAAACAGCTGATTGCTCACTCTCATATAGGTTAAGATTAATAACAGCTGTAAGCTTTTTGTGTGTTTTTCTATACAGACCCCTCAGCAGAACTTCAAGTTGCACAAGCCCGGATTAAAGAACTTGAAGCACATCTATTAACACAAAAGGCTGAGGTAATACTTGAACCCAAGGGGTGTCACCCAAGTGCTTAAAGAGAGTATTTGTTCCTTTCAATAAAGGCTGCTACTTTTCTTCATGTGCCATGGCCAGTGTAAATTAATGATTCCTTGTGCATATTTTTGTCAAAATTTTGTGCTGCATGATCACATAGCGAGGCAGAAACACGAGTTAACTCTATTTCTATATATCTGTTGGTGTCTGCAATGACATTATCAACCGACAAACTTGGTCTGTTGTTTTTGTGGCCTTTGTGATAATCAAGAATGCTTTTGGTGATCAATTTCCACGACAGAAGTTATTTGCAGAGAAAATTGACACATTAAACCATCTTTGAAGTAGGAGCAATAATCAAGATTAAAGAACCTGGGTGATTTCAGAAAATATCCATACCATACCATGGACGGCCTCCACATTTTAACTCCCCCCTGCTTTTGTACTTTCCAAAAAGCATTCTTCTCCCATGTCCTCAGATAATCGTTACCCCCTTCTCCTGTTCAGATTTTCCGCCTTTTTGTCAAACCCTTTGGAATTACCAGCAGTTTTTTGTAAATAAGGCTTCTACAATTTGGCTTATTTTGCACCAAATTATTTCTAAAGACTATTTTTGTTCAGTATGGCTGATTACAGAGGGAGATTACATGTATGTCTCCAGAAATTCTGGTAAGAATGAAAATGAAGTCGTTAATGCTGTTCAACAGATGAAACCTACTACTTTAACTTTAAATTGCCCCAAACTGTTACAGAACATTGAGATAGGAATGTCTTGTGTAAAATGTGTTTTCACTCTGAAGATATTGCGTTGAGTGTATTTTCATTTCTACCATCTTGAATTTGAGTCTTAAGGGTCAGCAGTCACTCCCAATCCTACGAGAGCTTCAAAAACGGCATCCTCAGTCAAAAGGCCATGTTCGCTCTGAATGGAGATTTTTAATGGAGCTTGACGTACAACGCATGTTTTTTGCTTTGCAATACACATTTAAGAATAAAACAGGACAATATAAAAAGAAAAAGAAGGCGAAGAAAATAAAGAAAGTGGTAGGGTCTTTATGGCAGGATTGTGGTATCACCCATCCAGTGCCTAAACTTATCTAACACGGCATAGCTTGAGTGGGGCTATTAAAACTGGGTTTTATGAGACACATACATTGTCCATGTATTTCTAATTTAATTTACTGACGTTATTTCCAGAGTTGAAGGTACATCGCTGTACATGTACATGTACTGCTCTATGCTCAAGGAAGGTGTTGAGAACCTGGAAGTTGTAGTGACCAGATTTATTTTCACTTTCTTTTAGGTGGTCAAAATTATATTACACTGTGTTTCATTATTATAAGTGTCACTAGCTGTACTATAAACAGGGTTCGTACAGGTCATGGAAGACCTGGAAAGTCATAGAATTTAAGCATAGTATTTCCCAGGCCTAGAAAATCATGGAATTTAATAATTAAATTCCATGTTGGCCCTGGAAAGTCATGGAAAATTGAAGTTTTGTTTGATAGATAAGTAAAGCAGATGACGAGGCAAGGACATTGTAGGATAAAGGGAGGTAATCAGCCAGCACAAACGGCTCACATTTTAGGGACACCAACGTTTGTGTCTGTTGAACTGTTCAAGGTCCAAAAATACCTTACAACATGGAAAGTTTTTAAAATTTTTGTAAGTGAGAGCTAAACCTAAGGTCTTGGAAAACTTAAAAAGCTCATGGAATTTGAAGAGCTTAAAAGAGTATGAACCTTGTATAAAGATTTATTTGTGTAAGTGGCACTCTTACATCTACAGTGTTCATACTTGCCAAACTTCAAACTGTGCACTACGCGTAATATGACTCTTCCTGTTCTGTATGAAAGTTACATATATTTAGCAAAATGTTGACAAATTGTAGTATTTGTAAATTCCTTTTACATGTGCGATGTCAACATTTTCATTATGGTACTGGGTCTGGTCATATTCATGTAGGATGTTAAGAAAACAGTTGCTGTTAACTCAAAGCAGTGGTATGCCTTTTCCTTTTGGTTCTAATAATAAAGCTTGTTCTTAATTTCTTAGTATGAAAGAGTGAGGCAAAATAGTGAGGAGCTCCATGTGAGACTAGAAGCTTCAGAACTTCAGGTCAATAATTTATCCAAAGAGTACAGGACACAACTCCACAACAAAGAGGTAACCTTTGAAGCCAAGTGTCATCATTGGTGCAGCATGGTACAGCTGCACATGCCATAACTAATATGATATAACTGAGATAATAATATTTGTTTTTAGTTTGTCGGGTTTACATTTGTACATATTTATGTATTACCGGTATGTAGACATCAGAGAGTCAAAGTTCATGTAGAAAAACTTGATATCAACCTTCTATATGTACTGTGCACAGTATGTGTCATTATTTTCAAAGAAAAATTGATTCTATCATTGTTATGAAATTTAGAATTGTAACATATTATTTAAATTGTCACATATATAAGCAGAAGGAAATGGAACATTGAATTAAGTTGGTGAAGACATGAGAGTCATGCTGAAATATGTCTTTAAAAAGTGGGATGGTGTGTTTTGAAGTTATTTCTAGATTATGATCTTTTTTCTCTGATATTTATTTTTTTGTTATTTGAGTAGCAGGAACTGGTAAAACTGCGGGAGCTCAGCAAAAGTCAAGAGGAACATGCCCATAGTTTTGGAAGAAGAGAACGACATGATTCTAGTGAAAGTATTGAAGACTCCTTGGAGGCTAAACGGCTGCGCAGTGAAATTTCAAAACTTCAAGCTGAATGTCAGCATTGGAAATCCATAGCACATGGGGCAGTGAGTATACTAGTTTGCAGGGCACATAGCTCAATATCAGTGTACGGTCAAACCCTGCTTTATCGACACCCGCTTACATGGACAGTTTACCTTGTCCTAGCCTTTACATTTTCTCTAAATTCAACCCACTTAATACCGACACCCAGTTAATACGAAGACTTTCTGTGGCCCCCTTAGTGTCCCTGTTAATGGGGTTTGACTGTAGCTTTACACACACTTGAATCTACACTGACACATAATGGGGACTGTCAGGACAGCATTTAGTGCAGGCTTATATGCAGAGGTTGTCAGTGTGTCATTTGATCTTTTCACAAAAGAATAAGATGTTAATGTTTTTAGCTACCAAATAATGATTCCTATTGTCCAGAGCACCTAATATTGCATTTTCTATAAAGACATCATCCTTTGTTAGAGGTTATTTTAAGTGGATGTTTTGTGGGGTTTTGAAAGTGAAGTGTTTGTGTTTGTTATTGTGTGCAGGTGGCCATTACATGCTACTACAGCAAAATTAATGTACACTCTATGTTTACATTGCATATCATTGTGGTGGCCATTTTGTACTATATGTAGTATCTGCAAGAAAATGGAATTTCCGGCATTTGAGTGGATACGAATTAGCTGGAAATGAAATATTTCTGCAGCACGGGAGCGTTGGGGACTGGGGCGGTTTCAGTTGAAGTACAGTATGGATAGAATGGAGTGCTATAAAAGGGATGCTTATCACGTGGGAAAGAGTCCTAGGCCTGCACCCAGGGTTTTCATTAAGAATTCTTGTTGTAGGAGAAAGATGTAACATTACAGGAGAATATTTTGAAAGAGGCTCCATGTCTGAATAAAAAATAGTCATAAGCTACGGAACATTAGCCGGAGAATTCAGTGTAATAACCGGAGAACTCTCCAATCTCCAATGTCTAACGAACACCCTGGACACCTTGTGGAGCCCAAGTTTTTTATTTATTTATTTATTTATTATATATTTGGTTTATTAAGTGACAGGTTGAGTTTCGTGACTATTTTAGCTTGTTTTCATTTTTTTTGTTTGTTTTCAAATAATTATTTTGTATTTAATGTGCTTTTTGGGAATACATGCCCGGTAAATATGGGCAGAGACCTTTGAGCTATGTAGCCTTCGTAGGATAGGCTTTTTGGAGCATGAGCCATGGATCATACCCAGATATCCTGCCATGTTTTTTCTCCATTGGGTTTTTTTCCAGCAGGTTTTTCTGGCCTCTGTTCTGACAGTATTCTTTGTAAACTGTCGCTCAGCTCTGTTCTAAATGTAGTTTATATACCGCGTGTTTGGTTGTAATAGAAGTTGTAGCATAACATATCTCTCAGTGCTTGGCTGAAACAACCAAAATAAACCTAATAGTTTTTTATTAGGTTGTACTGTGTAGTGGAGTTGAAATAGTGCTGTACATGCACATCACTTTCTTGTTTTTTTTTTTTTTAACACTAGAATAAATTATTAATTCTTGTAGGACAATCAGGATAAACTGCACAGAGAAACTGACCAGTATCAGCATGAATTGACTGCTTTACAGAGCAGCTACTCGCAAAAGATCTCAGCTCTTAACAAGAAACATAAACAGGAATTGCAGAAATGGCAGGCTGAGAAAGAGGAATATGTTCAGAAAATTGAAGAGTTAGAGGAACAGCTCCTTAATCCTCAGCAAAAAGGTACATTATCTTTTTATCTTGTCACGTTCACCTAAAATTGCCAATGCATTTTTTATTCCACTGTCACAGAAACCTTTTTGATATTTGTAATCTGCATGGCTGCCATAAAGTGCTAAATGTATGTGAACACATCGGTCGTAATAAAATAAATATAGCACCTATAGTTTTCAGTGCTAAGCAGTTGTACATATGTACTTGAGACAAACAAAATTAAATAAATAATCAGTCTATTGTGTGTGGCACAAAATTTTTGCTTTTTTGCAATTTTTCCAGTGATCTGCCAAAATAAGTTCCCACAAAGAAAAATTACCACAAACATTTTCCCACAATAATTTACTCCGGAGTAAATATCCTCTGACTTAAATTCGCTAACCAAAAATACAGAAATCGTGTCTGTTCAATTACAACCTGTCTCTTTCGTTCAGAAACAAAGAGGTATACAAGGAAACAAATACTGATTTTACATAGGGTATACATACTGTAGTATTGTTTGAAAATATCTATCAATGCTGGATACTGAGTACTGGGTACTTTCTCAAAATCACAAAAATTAATTCCCAGCAGGAAAAAGTCAATCTGTCCTAATCGCAAAAATTAGTTTTTGCAGTTGTGAAAAGAAAAGCCTGAAAAAGCCTGAATTTTTTCAGGCTTTTTTTTTCGCAACAGTAAATGTTGTGTCTATAACTGGGATGATCTTCTTTTATATAATTCTTCACCCCGCAGTTCTCATATATAATTTTCATATATTCAAAACTTCATAAATACATCTTTCAACAAGTCATTGTGAAATGAAATGATTTTTGTCTTCTCTACCTCTTCCTAAATGTTATGATCCAATCTGATTTTAAAAGGATTTGTATGGAGTCATATGAGAATAACAGTGCTTATATCTCCCACCAATTATCCATAACAGGCTGGTTTTTGGCAAGGGGTCTTTTTTCATCTAGTTCTTTCTGAATACGCCAACCAATCCCATGATTTCCCAAATTTGAATGTTTGTGATGTCACACTTGTCCTCTCCATTAAGGAGGGGGATTGACTGGAAGTGAACTGGCAATTATTGTGGACAAATTAAATATTTTCCTTGAGCTCTGTAATCATGTCCATGTGTACTACATTTTGGCCCAACAATGAAATGTTCCATTATTCACCTGTGACCCATGAGTGACCAACAGAAATTAGTTCAGTGCAGTACTTGCAACTCGAATCTTAAATCTTGGTGCTGGGCAACCTTGACTCTGTGATTATGGTTTGTTGACATAAGTTTGCCTTTAGATGACATGATCAAAGGCTTGAAGAATGGGCTTGTAATTTTTTTTCCCTACCTATAGATGAAGATGTTGTAAACCATGTTGAGATGAATGCTGGCCAAACTCATGAGTCCACTGCTGTTACAACATCTTTGAAGAACCAGTTAGCAGCTGCAGAGAAATCCATGGCACAGCTGAAGAAACAGGCAGATATTCAGGAGGACAAAATAAATGCATTGAATGCTGAGCTTCAAGAAAAGAATGCAGTTATCACTGCAATGCAAAAGGATTTAGAGAATGCCCAAGCAAATCTTGAGGAATCAACCAAAACACATAAACAAGTTGTGTCTGCTTCTGAAAGTAAGTTGAATGAAAGCACAAGACAGCTGGAAATACTTCAAAGTCAGCTAGAGGATCAAAACAAAGAACTGAGTGTGCTGAAGACTGACTATGAGTGCTTAAGCACTTTAGAGGAACAGTTTCACATAGTAGCTACAGAAAATGCTGAGTTAAAGGAACATCTAAGTTGTGCCCAATCAGAGGAAAGAAGGTTGCATCGCTGTGTTGAGGAAGTAAAGTCTGAACTTGAACAGTTGAGCTGTTCAACCATGGATTTAATGGAAGAGTTACAAATATCACAGGGTCTCCAAAAAGAGCAGAAAATTGAAATGGAGAGTTTAAAGAAGGTGAAATACATCAAAGGAGAAGCAAAGGAGGAGATGAGCAAGCTTAGGGGTGCTTTGGCAGGTTGGTGAATGATCAAATGATCACCTCTTATTTACTGCTATCCTTAGATTAATAATTATTATCAAAGTAGTTGTTATCTTATGTTAATTTCTCATGAACACTGGCAGAGATCCATATTCGCAGTCATCCCAGATGACTACAACCCCACTCGGACGATTAAGATAACTCCGTAAGTCGTCCTTTGGACGTGTGAGGTTTGGCTCAACCACAAAATCTTTCAAAAAATTAATTCTTATATGATTTTATCATGTACATTTTACCTACGTTCTGATTACTTCTCATCCACTTAAGACTTTTAAAATAATGGGCCATGTGCAGAAAACATGACAGTACTCATCAAGGTGTGGTGTTTTTTAAAAGGTGTTTCACTGCCTCCAGCAAAAAAACAAACAATCAGACAAAACAAACAAAAAAGTGAAGCAGGTGCCTCTGCCTTTTACGAGGAAAAACGCAAGACCTAGCTCCTTCTTGCCTTCATAGCAAACTAACAGACAGTGGCTTGTCTTGGTGCCCAAACAGAATGCATCCTAGTCATCAACTGACATCACTGGGAGTCTCAGTCTACATCCTTAACAGCTATATCAGCTGGCAAAATGCTTAGCGAGTTCAGTCAAAAAGCTTCCAGAACAATGTTTGCAACGTTTGCAGAGGGCTGCATTCTTTTTATAATCCTGCACTTTTCTGGGCAAACCAAATTGTAACCAGGCAAGTATGCCATTATGCTTACTTGTCTGGCTGACAACGCTGATAAAAAATGAATATGGATCCTTGACATTGGGGACTTTTAAAAAAGTTTATGACAAATGCATTAAAAACTCACATTGAAATACTTTTGCTTTTCAGCTTTGTGGGAACGTCATTTATGCCTGGTTCAGCTATACCAGCAGGTCAGACAAGAGTTGCACAACAGTAACGCCAGGCTTGTAGCCATGTTCCAGTCTCGACATGTAATGCATTTCGTGACAGGTTGCTGTGCAGGGTGACATGGCAAAGGAAGCTTAGCTGCTGCCATGCTCATCTGTTGTGGGAATTGTGTAATAATAACATTTTTAATAGCTAATGGATAAGTGCAGTCATAATCTCAAAGATTGCTATTTCTGCCTTTTATACATACAAACAGTGTTATAAGTGTCCTGTCACAAAATAAATAGCACCATATTGTATGGTTCTTCAGATCTTATGAAAACTTTATCAAATGGAAATTTAATTATTCATTTGAAGCAATTCATACTTCAAAATGTCCTTAGCTCAACCAATGTTAATTTCCTTTTTCTTCATTTATCTTTTCCTTAGCAAATTCAGGGTATAAAGGGATGTTTCGTCTAGCAAATAGCACTTGTCCTCTGTCGAGTTGTATTTTGCTATTCTTGCTATGTTTTTAGGCAGACGTTTGGCAATTTTTTTCTTTGCAAAACGTGAAATTTTCTACAATTTTCCCCAGCTCTACAAAATACAGCCTCGTCCCCAGAGCTTCTTGGTTGCTATTACTTTTTCTGGCAATAGCCTGTACTAATTGATGTCATCTTATCAGATATTGAAATGACTGCTAAATTTGGCAAACACTAGCTAGTTATCAAGAATTAGCTGGGGGATTTGAGCCAATCAGAAATGGAGAAATATGTTAAGTGAATTATACTCATCTTTATTTTTTTGAATGGTTAAGTTTTATAATACGGAACCCATCAAAGATGTTGAAAAAATGTGAAACCTGTCCAAGTCGTATGACAACAGAAGCAAAAATTAATCTTTCCTGTTATTTTGATTCAAGCTAGGGAGATCTGCACATTTACGGAAGGAATAAGATGTAATCATAAGCCATCAAAAGCAGTTTGAAGCCATTATACTTAGGCACAGAATTTAACAATGTTTTGTCCAAGTTGGCTTTAGCTAACATGTACAAGTTAGTAATGCTAGCGGGCTATTTCACCAGGCTTCCCATGGCTAATGTTACCTTGCACAGCTACCTAAACTGGTCATACGTGTTTTTAAACTTGTTGTGTGTTACAAACTTTAAATTTGCAATGTGTACTAGTGTTTTATGTATGTAGTCTAAATATGCACATGCCACTTGCATTTAGTAAAGTTAAGTTAAAGTTAAAAACCCACTCAAAAACTCATGCTTTAGTCGGGACACCTTTGGGAGTCTCAAAATTTGACTTTTCCGGCAATTTTGTGTCCAGGAATTCAGCACAGATACAAAACTTCACGAGGTGGCACTGCAGAGGGGTAAACTTGGTAGACTGTAGTGTGTTATGTATTGAGCGGAATTCTAAAAGAGCGCTTTTGTGAAAAGATATGAGGTTATTTCAGGGATGGCAGATTTTGCTCATTTAAACGATTATATCTTGCTGGCACTCCTTAAATTGCAAAATCTGCTCAATACATAACAAACTAGAGTTTTTGACCGATCATTTATTAGTAAAATCACAGAGTGCTGTCTTCCATTATTTCCGCAAACTTGGACACAAAATCACGATTTCCCCTTTTTGGTACAACTGTGGCTTAAAGCATCGCTGTAAAGCACAGTCTACCAAATAATAACCAACGCTCCTAAACTTCTATCATTTCACAGTGTCTCTGTAAAATTTTATCTAAATCGCCTCTAAAACAGCCGAGATATAAGCGTTTTTTAAAAGATGTAACCCAAGCAAAATTTTGCCTTATAAATTTATTCATAGATGGGTGTTCCCCGCGGCCTTAAAATCCCGGTTTTAAGCTTCCCTCCTTAGTTATAGGCTCATCTGTATAAATCTATCTACATGTTCCGGTTACAGTTAAGTTAGTTTTTAAACTGTTTCCTTATCAGCTTGTGTATTCCGTTTATAAGCCGTCCCCCTGATATAATCCCCACCCCCGCCCCCCTCGATGTAAGCCCATCAATCCCCTTGTTATGCAAGCCCAGGGCTTATGACCAGAAATTTGTGTCGAATTCTGGTAGATATGTTGGAGCACTGTAAACTTACGTCTTTCGTCACAGCCCATTTGTCTTTTGTGTCTCAGATAATTTCAATGGTTTCCTTTGATTTTCACAGCTTAGTACCAGTGCGGCACGTGAAGACTTACAAGAACTTCAGCAACGACTGAGTAAACGAAGTCAGGCGAAATTAGATCATGTGATGGAAGAAAAAGATGCCTTGATTGGAAGATCTGCAGAGCTACGGGTGACTGTAGAGGACTTAGAGGGTGCTGTGATGGACTTACAATCAGACAATGAACAAGTGGGACAAGAAACAAAGTATTGTGTGACAGAGATTGGAAGACAGCAAGGTATTGATGAGGAGGAAGGTAGTGATATTGTTGGTGCGCTGCATGCAGAAAAAGCCGTCCTAGAAAGTACTATTGTTGGGCTGGAACATAAGGTGCAGGATCTACAGGAGCTCGTCAATACACTACAGAGTCAGAGAGAATGGGGCGAGAATATGGAGTCTACTGAGGAACAACCCAGTCCATCAGAATCAGCAGAGAGCTTAACAGAGAGCGCAGTTCACGAAGCTGAACCTGAAATAACACCGGATACTGAAGTGTCGTTAGAAGGAGCAACAAACACGATTAGTCAAGAACTTCTTCAGCAGCACCTACAAGATTACCAGCAACAGGTCGAGGAGCTGGAATTAGCGCAAAGAGACTGGGAAGGAGAAAAAGAAGCTCTTGAAGGCGTGGTGCTGAGTCTTAGGCGGCAAGTAAAAGAAATGCAAAGCCTGCTGGGAAATACCTCTTCTGAACAGCAAGAAGAGATAACAAGAATACAAAAAGAAAATTCTCAGATTATGTCGGAGAAAGAGCGTATTCTTGAAGCATGGAAATCTATAGAGGAAGATTTAGTTTCTTTTGAAATAAGTAGTCCCCGCCTAGAAAATGATACCAAGATCAATGAAGAACGAATGGATGAACTGCGGTCTGATCTTTGTAAATGGGCAGTTAGCAAAACAAGAGTAAACTCGCTTAACAGGAACGATATGGAGCAAGTCAGCACCGAAGACAGTATGAACCAAGGCTCCCAGACCGATGAAGGCTTTCAACTCTATTTAAATAAGCTTCAAGAACTAGAGAAAGATAATTCTCTGTTACGAGAGGAAACCGAACGACTTATTCAAGAAATTGAGGCGAAAACTTCAACCGTCTCTGACGTCCAAAATGAACTGCAAATAAAAAGTGTGGAAATTGAAAGCATCTTGAATGAAAAACATGACTTAGTGGTAATGATTAACGAACGAGATGAAAGAATATGTGAATTGGAAGAGAGTTTTAATGCTCATCTACTGGAGTTAACCACTTCTAAGGATAATGAGATAAGTTTGCTTCAAAGCGGCCAAGAAGATGTGGTCAAACTTCTGGAGGAAAACAGACAGGAGTGTAGTTTGTTGAAAACAAAAAACAATGAGTTGCTGGATGTGATGGGAAAGAATCAACGAACCTGTGACGAACTTGACGAAAAGAACCAGAATTTGGTAACCCAGTTATCTGAAATTGAAAAACATCTTGAAAGGTTGAAGGGAGAAAAGGTCAAATTGGAAACAACGATTCAAGATAAGGAACAAGCGAACGCAAGACTTACCGCTGAAAACAACAGTTTGTTGATGGAAAAAGAAGTGCTGCAAAGTTTGGTTGAAGAGTACGAAAACAAAGTGAAAGTCTTGCGTAACCAAACCACTGAAATGTCCAGGCTGGAAGGACAAATTGAGCTACTGAACCAACAAGTTCAAATTAACGAGAAACGATGCAAGGATCTAGAGACACAGAACCTAACCCTGTCACAAGAAAAGACCAATCTTGAGCTCGAGCTGCAACAGAGAAGTTCTGAGTTGGATAATTCTGTTTTTGAACTCAAAGAAAAGTTTTCTGAGATTGAAATACTAAAGGTGGAAAAGACCAAGCTTAGCGATACTGTTCAGAATCATTTATCGGTATGTAATGACTTGGAACAAAAACTCACCGAAAGCGGGAGGGAAAAAGAAGAGGTGAGCAACTTATTAGGTATGAAGGACTTGCAGGTTGATAAACTAGAGCTTGACCTGAGAGAGAAAGGAGCTGAGATAGATCTGCTAAGGCTGGAAATGGCAAAAGTGACAAAAGCATTGAAGGAGAAGGAACAATTGATTCACGCTCAAGTTGTGAATGCTTCTAGTTCGGATGATGTTCAGTATCATCAAGCACAATTATTGAGATTGTTAGACGAAAAGGATCAAGAAATAGCAGCTCTTAAACAGAAAGATGCTTCATTGGTAGAGCTTGTGAGTAGGACTGACCAGTCTACACATAGAGCGCAGGAAGCTTATGAAGGCAAATTACAACAACTGAGGGAGGAGAGGGATAGGCTGTTAGCGGATTTGAGCCTGCGGGATGAGGAGTTATTGAATGCAGAGGACAGATTAGAGGCCATGAGAGAGAAGGTGCAAGGGAAGGACCAAGCCTCTCATTTACTTCATACTGAGCATGCGCGACTGCTTGCTTTGAACGAGTCTCAAGCTAATGAGATGGGAAAACTGAGAGAAAAACACTCTTCATTACAGAAACTACTTGAGGAACGCAACAAGAGCAAAAGTGCCGAAGAACAAAAATTACAGCAAGAAAATTCCCAGTTGAGACGACAAATAAATTCTCTTCAAGTTGAGCACGAAACTTTAACTACGCTTATACACGAGAAGGACAAACAAATTGCTACCCTTGCTCAGCTGGGAAGTTATAGCACTCCCGACCCCTCCCTGCATGAGGTAGATGTGCAGGTTAAAATACTTAGAGAGGAAAGAGATGTGTTACTGAAGGAAAGAAACTCAGTCATGAGAGACAAGGAGATGAAAGATAAAGAAATTTACCAATTGCAGGAGGAAATCGGGTCTCTTAGACAAATGATTCAAGAGAAAAGTGATTTAACTGCCAAATTATCGGCTGAAAATGAAGAGCTCTGTAAACAGCTCGGCAGTCTTAAGTCACAAGTGAACACATTGTCTTCGGACAAAGCTAATATAGTTAGAAATGACAACAGAATCAAAGAGTTAGAAGATGAAATCACTTCTTTCAAGCGCACTATAGAGAGCAAGGACAATGAACTGAAGCAGCTTTTAGAAAATAGTCGAAATGAAAAAAGTATAATATTGGTAGAACTTGACAATATCAAAACTGAAAGAGACGATATTTTAGAAGAAAAAGATATCGAAAATAGAGAGCTAAAGAAGAAAATTTCACAGCTGGTGAATTTAATGACGGACTCAGAGTCCGGGGAAAGTGAAAATGTCGATGATATTGACAGGAACTTTCAAAAATTGTTTCAGTCAGTTAAAAACCGGAGAAATAATGTTCTTCGACAGCGAGACAACGAAATTCAGACTTTACGTGAACAGCTGTCAAATGTAACGCTACTAAATAAAGCTGTTGAAGATCGAGACTCCGGTTTAGAAGAAGTGCTCCGTGAAAAAGAAGAGCTAAATCGCTTGTTATTTCAAGCACGCCATGAAAAGGAAGACGTCTTACTCGAGAAGGAGTCCATAGTCGCAGATTTGCAAGATCAGATTGTTAGCCTCAGTAAGGCAGTCAGTGAAAAAGAGCGCTCCTCGTATCAGGATTTGCAGCGTGTTATCCAGGAAAAGGAGCGAATTGTAAAGGAACTTGATCAAGCACAGCTACGCACAGAGGAAATAAACATTGCCAGCTCTCAATGGCAGGCTGAGGTAAGCAGGCTACAAGCGGAGCTACAGGAGATGACAGGAACTGTGTCCCAGCAACGTGAAAGCATCAGCAGTCTATACAACGATGTTGAACAGCACAAGTTGGCAATACAGGAAAAAGAAAGGATTGTTAAGGAGCTAGTGATGGAAAGAGAACAGCTGGTCAGAACATCAGAGCAGCTTCGTAGCCGGGTACAGCAGCTGCAGGAGGAACTGTCTGCTGCAAACAGTGGGCAGAAAGTGGCGGAGACTAAGATGGAACAGGAATTAGAGAGGCTTAGGAATCACCTTGTACAGGTATCAAATCTGAAATCAATTTACGGTTGCCAAATTACTGAATTAGATAACATCGAATTGTTTGTTTAAGAGTTCTGTATGCCTCCCGTCGAAAAACTCCTTTTTATGAAAACAACTTCTACTAGTGATCAATATTACTGTTCTGTTCCATGAGCTTAGGCGTGAAAATCATGCGTTTGGAGAGAATCTAAAACTAGTAACAGCTGATGCTTTTCAAATGGATTAAGTATATTGCCAAGCATGAGGAAAATTCGGAATTGCTGAACATATTAATATGGCGTCTCTAGGTTGAAGAAAGCTACACGCGTGAGGCCCTCGAGGCAGAGGAACGAGAAAAAGAACTAAGGATGAAACTAGCGCGCGCAGAAGAACAACTGCTGTCCAGTTCCTACTCTATGCAGGACAGAGAGTAAGTGATTCTTTGCTTTTTTTTTTTCAATAATCAACGACCTAATTATATGGAAGGGCCTTCAAACCCTTGAACTCAAGACAAATAAAGTACGTAACTAGTGCTTTCAGCTGAATGCCGTATCTATATGCTAAGAGGTTGTTGTGGTGTCAATTGTAGTCGTCAAGCCTCAGCGCAGATTGAAAACCTTCAGGAACAACTCCGGAGCATCGCAGCTCAACGTGACCGAGCAGTCCTGGATTTAGCTTCATCCCAAGAGCAGGCGGACCAGTACCAGACTTCTCTCAACAATCTGCAGCTTGTTCTCGAGCAGTTTCAGCGAGGTGGGTTTGATAAAAAACTCTCTTTGCTGACGTTATTATGTTTACCATTGATCAGTCACATACTTCGCTGGTGTTGATCTGGATGATGTTAATTTCAGAGCGTGAATCACAGCTGAAAGTCGCTCAGGAACAAGCACAGAGAGAAGTAATCAAGGCCTGGGACCAAGTTAGAGAACTACAACGGAGGGAAAATCAGCTGAAGGTTAGTGAAGTGAACGCGATATAAACAAAGCTTGAAACATTTACTTAATAGTTGTACCTTGTGGTTTTACCTTTAGAGCCAACTTGAAATGGCTGCTCGTGTAACACAAGAGTTAGTGAACATGCGAGGCCAGCTTCAGGGTAAAGAAGAAGAACTACTTAAACATAAACAAGAAGGTAGGGCCACTAATTTAATTAATTATACATTGTACTCAAGATCTGTCTTCTCATTGGCTAAGAGAGTACAGTTAATTTTGGAAATCAGTGCAACTTACAGATTAGTTAGTTATCTGCCAGCAGATTACTGACTTATCTGTAGGTTGCGCGCAATGCATGATTTCCAAGAACATTGTCAATCTGTTTTCCGTGCAAACATACTCATAAGCAGTCTCCTCTATTAACTATTGTGCGAAGGCGTGTTGGTCGTTATTTTCTAACAAACAATGTATAATATAACAATTATTGCATTCGGTTTTTGTGATATCCGGAGCCATCAAAGTCTCGGTAATTGTTACTAGCCACGGCCATAAATTTCCGTAAATCACAAAAACCGAATCGTTATTGTTTATCATTTTTGATTGTTCAAGTACATCATACCGGTTTTGTTCGTCAGTAGCTTCGTAGTTTTGTTGTCTTTTAGTAACACAAGCCATTTTCCTCCTCAGGAAAAATCCTGCAAAGTGTAGAACAGTTAACAGATAAAGCCCTTTTAGCGGCTCGAAAATCATAAGATTCGGCTGGGGCTGCGATATTCTCCTACAACGACGAGTTAAGGAAAGTGTCTCCACTTGAGACTTGTCTGGAATTAAGAAAACCATCTTTTGCCCTTTTATGGAGTTTTGGAGGGAAATGGCTTCATTGTTAGATGTCATGTCATCATTTTTTGTCGCGGCATCATTAAAATGAGTTTTTTATTTAGAAACATTTATGTGACTTATTTATCGGATGTAAGTATGTGTTGGGATAAGTAAAAGTAACATGGTGGTTGCGTTCTTGTTAGTTGCCCGGCTAGACGAAGAGTTACGAATCAGTCAGGAGCGAATCAAGAACCTCAACAGCATATCAGACAGCAAAGTTGAAAAGTAAGTCCATCTAAATGGTTAATTGAAGTCACTTTGATGTCCACGAAAGGTTGTCAACTTAAACTTCATGTTAGGCCAAAATTTACAAATAGCTTCTCTTCTAGGAATATATTCCTCGAGCTGAGGAAATCTTCTAGGCCTTTGCTCAGGGACCCAGTGTTTTGAACCCTAAAAAAGGTCTTAAAGAAAACATTCTCAAACGTGGGTGAAAATTCTCAGCCTGGGATAAGGCGCGCTAACCTGTTTGGTAAGCGGGACCCAGAGCTCCATGGTTCTATTTACAATTTACGTCACGCGTAGGTGTGGTAATGGACTTAAATTATAGGGTCAGATCGCGGTGTTTTAGTTAATTACAATCCTTACACCTCAGACTGAGAAACAATTCTTATTGCCAAAATCATAGTCCAGAAACAAACGAAAAAGAAAGGAAAAAAAACCAAGTGGTGGGCAAAAGAGAGTATTGAATACAGAACTTGGTAATAAACGGAAGAATCGGCCGTGACCTGCCAAGATTGGACACTCCCAAATTATACTCATGCCCAGGGTGAGTTAGTCTGTGGGGACTCTGTTTCATGAATGTTGATATTGTGTAGCCTCACTCGTTTGGTTTGCTTTTGTTTTAAGATCTCTTGTGAAAAACATGTTGATAACATATTTCAATACAACTGAAAGCAAACGAGCTGATGTAGTTCGAGTTATTGGAAGTTTGCTTGGCTTCACCCATGAAGAACTGGAGAAGGTATGTCTATAAACAAAACGATTTAAGTAGTGAAGTGAGGGCTGGATATGTGTCACGTTGGTCCTTGAATAACCCCTTACGGGTCTTGAACATTTTATCGTTTGGAATTTCCATGTATAAATCCTTCTGTTAGAACTCTGATGTGTTTCAAGCCGTAAGCTCAGTAGATTCCCATTTTTGAGAAGCAAAATAATCTGCAGGGTTGAATGATTACTTATAACCTTGCATTTAGTACCATTTAATTGGCTTATTTGTAAACGCGTTAAGGCGAATAACTCACGTGATAATGTTGCTGTCAGGTGGGTACAGGATCGTCTGCTCCTAAAGGATCATGGATCTCCAGTTTAAACCCGTTTGGTGCACCCAAGACTCCCACAAGAACTACAGCGGAAATAGGGAAGGTAATCTTGACTTAGACAAGGCAGTCTTCAAGACAATTTTTTTAATCCCTGATTGAAATTCTTGTCTTTTTTATTTTAGTCGTTTTCAGAGCTGTTTGTAAGTTTCCTTGAGAGCGAATCGGAAGCGATGCTGCCCGTGGGTCAAGGAAGCAGACTGAGTAACATAAACAATCCTCTTCTGTCAGGCTTGTCACCACAACAATCTGCTGCTACTCACCATAGACTACCGTCGGGTCCCACAGGGCAGCCTATAGCTACTTCAACTCCTGTGGGTACCCCTGCTAGGAGTAACATGCCTTCCTTGCCTCCGTCTTCTATTTCACGACCTCTGTCCGGATCAACGTTAAGTGCAACAGATGGATCAACTAGGTACGTTTAACAGACAGTGCCCCAAAACGTCCAATCTAGTGTACCTCATTATTCACCTTCATGCCTTTTTTGAGTTTACATCGTTCACACTGCACGACTTGTGTTACAGTGGCATTGTTTTGCTTAGAACCCACAATCAACAGTTGTTAGGTCTATG